AAAGAGACAGAGGGCCATCCAATGCCACAAATATTGCAGTTGTCTTTGTTGATTGGGGTTTTGCCGGGGCCACTCACTGGTTACTGACTGGCACCTGAAACCAACTCTGACCCCAGTTCAGACATTTCACCGCTGCATTGTCACATCACTCTCGCCACCACTGAAGTGTAACTCTGGGTTCTGCAGAGTTTGGTTTAGAAACTTTTAAATTACTTATTCGTTGTGGCAAGTAAAAATATCCAAACAATCAACTTTAATTAGTCAAATCATGAATAGCTGCTAGCCCACAGACATTGAAAGATTATGAGACAACGGGCCCCTGGACACAGACATATACTGGTAAAGGCTTTGTTTGCAGCTGTTTTGTGTGTCTTAGTAGTCGTTTTGTCACTTTCTTTGATTGCCTTCCCAATAAGATTAATAGTCACTTCATTCAGAACTTCATTGTCTCTAGTAGAGGGACACACCCCTGACCCCGCCTTTGGGCTTCTGGCATCAATTATTTAGGTTGAACTAAAGCTCATTAAGTGATTTATTGCCTCCCAGTTCAGAGTTTTTAATTATTTTTTCATCTTTGAATTCTAACCACACAATGTTAAGCATTGTTGTTTATTGTCTCAATTTAAATGCGCAGCAGTTTGCTCTGCGTAGTGTCGGACACAGTTTGGAAAGGACTATTGATCCATTTAAGGAAATCTAAGGTGAAGGCAAAAAAAACAACATTCCCCATATTAAGGGGAATTTAAACTCAGTTCAAATCCATGAATGCATTTTTCTTTTTTTAGTCAAAGTGGAGCATTGTAGCAATAGTCATATCTATAATATAATATAGCTTCTTTGAACAGTAATCTCTTGCATTTTACCCATGAGGAAATCATGATAATTCATGCACTCTGGTGAATACCAAGCACCATCAATTGGTTTACAGTTGACACATTGTCTGCTGCCCATTGCAGTTTGCCACACTGGTAGCTTAATATTTCCACATACGTAGATCTCTTCGACTGTCCTTTACTTGGTTTCCTGGATCTGTGTTTCATTCTAGGAGCACAAATCTACATTAGGAAGAAATAGACTGGAAATAATAGAAACAGAGGACTGTTGTGCCCAGTCGATCAAACTTTAAACAGGACTGATGGCACCTTTCACACACAAATTATTGTCAATTAACAGATTAATAAAAAGAAAGATGGGAACTGTGACTATCAAGTGCAAGGGCCATTAGCCTTCACTCCATTTTATAATCCAGGCAGCGGTCGATCATGAAAATTGATGCATTACAGAATCATCCATCAGGCATCTAAATTACTATCACGTAGGACTGCTAAAACCCACATCACTGGGATATGCATGTGGGATTGGTTTAGCTTTAATTATTTCCATGACAAAGACAACCTTCCCTGAATCCATAAACTGTAACCCGTCAAGGGGTCGTCCCTTAATGGAAATTACGTTGATTGACGAAACAATCTCCAGAACAGATTCGAAATGGATCCTGTGGTGAGATTGTTAACTACTGTTCTCAAAACAGTATGAATGAGAATGAGCTTGTCTCGATGTTTTTCAATCATTTAAAGCTGTGAAATCACAAACCAACATTTTAGAGCATAGCGTGAAGTCCTGTGAAGTAAAGAATCTCTGATTATATGTTTTATTTCAAATGAGGATTTGAACTTTTCACAATTCATGAAAATAGTTGATGTTTAAGAGACGCATGTTTTTTTACAGAACATCAATGCTATATAATAAATATTTTTGGAATTATTCGTTGTAATGTATTGATCAGTGTGGAGGGTCATTGTCAGTGATTTAGTCACTTGTTTGCATTTAATTACTTTCTCCAGTTACTTTCAAACATTGGACTAAATGCAGTTGGCATACAGGTGATTTATTGAAACTATGAATTATAAAATGGAGCAATAACAACAGGTGTTTCTTGATGACATCTATAAAGACAAATGAGCCATCAACCCAATCACATTCATTAGTATACTGAGTTTGTATGCTATTTGAATGCGTTGCTAATGAGCTAAGATTATCGTAGCTACATATGATCCATAACTGAAATGATTGTATGTCGTTCCATTGGAGTGTTCCCATTTGACAGCATTGACATATGGTAATCTATAAAATGTCAAACAGCCCTTGGTGGACATTTGCAGTGTGATCTTATGTACAGCTTAGTCTCTTAAGCACCGCAGACACTGACTTTGAGTGTGCCTCCCACTGGGAAGATTCAACACAATCAATAAAAGCTCACACAAATGCTAATAACCCACCACCACAGCACACAGTTTACACCTCTACCACCAATCATGACTCACTATTGCCCCAGAAACCAGTGACCGTGACAGTATATCTTCCAGCAATGGACAGTTTCTGGGACATTGACACTTGTACAGTGTCTTCATCAGATTTATACCTACAGTGGGTGTGAACATTCTCTTCTCCTGTAACCCTGTCCTGTCCTGCCCTATCCCATTCTGTCCTTTTTTGCATTTTTTTGTCATACTCCGTCTAGTCCTGTTCTGTTATTTTCAGTCTTGTACTGTTCTATCTTAGGCTGTCCTGTCCTACACTGTTCTATCTTACCCTGCGTCATCTCGTCCTGTCCAGTCCCATCTTTTAGTGTCCTGCTGTAGCCCTTCCTATCCTGCTTGTCTATTTTCTCCGAGAGTGTCCCTTCCTGCCCTGTCTTGCACTATTCTTTTCTATCCCTTTCCGTTGTGGATTGTCCTGCTCTGGCCTGTCCTTTTCCTACCTTACACTGTTCCATCGTAGGCTGTCCCACCCTAAACTGTTGTCCTGCCCTGCCCTGGCCCGTTATGTCCTTTCCTCTGCTTTCCTAAACTACTCTTTTCTGTCAGAGTACCATTCTGCACTTTTCTGTCTCGTCCCATCCAATCCTCTCTATGTCCTGTCCTATCCCGTTCTGTCTTGCTTTGTTCTATAATAGACTGTCACGTTCTTTCCTTAGCTGTCTAGTCCTGTCCTGTTCTCTGCCATCCTCCACCGCCATGGCCTATCCCGTTCTGTCTTGCTTTGTTCTGTCCTAGACCACTGTGTGCTGTTCTGTCCTATCCCATCCTGTCTTGTCCTAGATTTTCCTGTCTTGCACTGTCCTGTCTCACACTATTCTGTCCTATCATATCCCTTCCTTTCCTGTACTAGCCTGCTCTGTTCTGTATTATCCCGTTCCGCCCTGTCCAAGACTGTCCTTTCCTGTTCTTCTGTCCCATCCTGTACCAATTTGTCCTATCCAGTCTTGTCTTGTTCTATTCTATTGTCCCATTCAACTCTGTTCTTTCTTAACCTGTTCCATCGTGTTTTGTCCAGTCCTGTCCTATCATACACAGCCCTTTTTTCTGTTTAGTCCTGTCCTGTCTTGTCCCATCTGGTACAGTACTGGCCTATCCCATCTTGTCTTGCCTTGCTCTGTCTTAGATTGTACCATTCTGTGCTGTTCTTTTCCATCACGTGCCCCATCCTGTCCTGCACTGTTCTGTCCTGTCTTGTCCCACTCTGTAGTGGCCTGGCCTATCCCAACCTGACTTGCGTTCTGTTCTATCCCATCCAATCCCGTCCAATCCTGCAATGGCCTGTCCTAGTTTGTCCGGTCCTGTCTGGTACTGTTCTATTTCACCCAGTTTTGCACTGTTCTGTCTTATCCCCTCCCCACAGGGTTCCCCACAACTGCAAGTGCCACCTCTATTCTTTATGTCACTCTGGGTGCAACATGTGTTTGAACATGACACATGAAAATATAATTCACGTTTGTGTTTGACTGCAGCCACTCAGTCTTCATGAGTCCTTATGTGCATGACTAATTGTTTGTGTGAACCAAGCTGAACCCAGCTGAGCCACCACAGCAGATCAAAGGCTTATCCCTGCATCAAAGATGGGGCTGTCTCATTCTCCTCAATCCACGGGGCTTGATAAAATTTGATTAATGAAAGATGGAGCGGACACATAAATGTCCTGTTTGTAGCATAACTCATCTAATATGACAACTGAGAGAGGAAGGCAGTGTTTTCTGAGGAATTTGCTAACTTTGCAGACGAGCGTTACGTCACAGAGGCGACATGGAAACTGGGTCAGGGCTTTTCACGATGCTCTGTTTTTTTGTTGTGCTGTTATAAAATACACTCAACAGAGGAAACGGTGTCAGAGACTAACAGCAGTGATGATGTAACAGTTGAAATCAAAGCAGTAAGTAGTTCTTCATTGAGGTCATGGTTGTTTGGACACTGCATTTCTAATACCAGTTACATAGCGCCGCATTTGAGTTCTGTCCTCTCATGAGCAAGGTATTATAGCTCAGAGACACACTGGTGGGGGTCAGTCATGTCCGCTCATGCAAAATCTCTCTCTCTCTCTCTCTCTCTCTCTCTCTCTCTCTCTC